TTATTTAACTTTATTTTTGAATGATGATTCGCTAATTTTGTCTAAATGTTCAGTTGTTAATATATCGGTTAATAATTGGTCTTACCTGTCCAGGATACCAGCTGGTGTGGTTCTCTTGCATCTATTCTCCGTCACCATTTATGATTTTGATCATCCTGCTGGTTTGTTCTGCATTTTTTTAAATTTTGTTGCATTTATTTTTTATTTTTCTCACATTTCTGGAATTATGTGAAACTAGTTAGCTGAAACATGTATATGTATATCTGTTTATATGTTTGTAATTTTCTTTTATAATTTTTGTTGTTGAAATGTTTTTTTGTTGCAACAGACGAAAGAAACAGGTGGCTGTACATATTTGAGGTGCTCGTCTACAAATTCATCGTCTGCTCTTGCTTGCAGCCCATCTGTGCGTTCGTTGTCGCAACTCTCGTCTTCCCACTTGCTGCGTTGGCCATCTGCATTGGTTTCAGCTTTTTTTATTTTATTTTTTCAAAATCTTTTTCTGTCATATTTTATAATTTGAAATCTTTTTCATGATATCCTTACAAAACTTCATTGACACGCACACACACACACACGTACACACCCATGCAGGGGGTATGTTGCGGAGAACAGGGAGGGTGTTGTGGGACTGCCTCATGTACCATCTGGTCATCAAGAAGAGGGGAAGGGTACCCACCAAGGATGCTTTCATTGTCAGGCGAATCGCTGGACCTGGTCTTGCATCCAAGTATTATCTTCAGGTAAGCATTTTAGGAAAAGGGTTTTATGTTGTTGGAAATTGAATGGTTCAAGTAAATTGTCTTTTTAGACAATTCTGCTGGCGACGATGATTTAAATGACATGATTATTGTGCAAGGAGTTTGTTGTTTCACATAGAATCAGTTTACACTAATTGTAATTTTCTTTGCAACAAAACAGGTGAGACCAGAGCAAGCGTTGGCAGCTGTTGAAGCCTGCGTGGAAGCACACGAGTTGAATGTTTGGATGGAGTGCTACAGTGATGTCATCAACCAACCGAAACAAGATTACAAGTCTATCTCTTTTTTCTCGTTTTAGTTGTTGTGTTTTATGTTAATGAGCAAATCCATCCAACAAACACACATCACATCTATCCTGACAGAAAGTTTGTAGAGTTGTGTTTCAAGCCATTTTCGTGTGTACTGATAGAGGATGGTGTATACCAGAGTCTGGTACAGGAGTGCAACGCGCAGCTCAAACTACTCAAGCACACAATTGACAGGTGGTCATTACCTCGTGTTACTTACATGCAGTGTTACTTCATTACTTACTGCCCTTTAATATTCTTCTTGAAAAATTTACTTAACACTGTATTTTAATCGGGCTTGTACATTTTTAAAAATATTTCTATTATTATTATTTACGTGGAATTTATATCGCGCGTGCAATTTTCATCGCTAATAGTCAGAAGCAGAAACTGAACACTGGCTTGAATGCTGACTTGAGATCAAAAATTCGTCTGACGTCCAGGGAGCTTAAGGTTGACACTTTTTTCTTTCAATTTACAAGTTTACATAAATTTTTAATTTACATTCCTCACATATTTTTTGTAAACATCTTCGTTAATAATTTTCAAAAATTAATATTCTCGTTAATAATTCGAAATTATTTTAACCTTATTTATTCGTTGCACACTTAACATTATTCTTTTTTTTCATGGTACTGACAACGTTCTAAGAACTTTTTCTACTGTTTTTTTTTCAAATTCCAATTACTTTTTCTGTGAGTGGGTGATTTGATAAGCAAACATTTCACTATCAACATCATCATCTGTATCGCTATGATCCCCACCATCATTTGCATCATCATCATCACTATCATCATCACCATCATCATCACTGTCATCATCATCATCTAATTCATCATCATCATGACAGGTCGTCATAGCTCAGTCGTCAAAGATGCTGGAATCATTTTATCCCAATCGCATCTTCAGGATCATGAGCAAGACGGAAGCCAGATTCTGGGAAGATAGAAATCTTGATTACAGAGATTGGCAGGGTTAAAGATGGTGATGACGACGATGTGTATGATGAGGATGATGATGGTGATGTTAATGATGATGGTGATAATGATGATGATGATGATGATGATGATGATAACGATGATGCGTTTGATGATGATGGTGATGATGGTAAAGATGAGTGACATGATGTTGATAATGATTAAAATTATATTCGTAATATAATATTAAATAAATATATATGAAAATAAAATTTAAAATGTATATTGTAATGCTTTACAGGCTTGGCCACTCAGCTCTTGACCGAAGTTTTTTCATCTTCATTTCTTATTCCTCTGGAGGAAATAGACACTTGTTTCAAATTGGATGTTAGAAAATTTATATCCATTTTTTAGTCGTACCATTCATTCGTTGTTTGTATGAATGTGATGTCATTTCTTTCGATTTGTTATGAGGTCGACTAACTTTTCGTGAGATCTCCTCCTACCACATAAAATTTGTGTGTTGTGATGCGCAAATCTAAGCCTATTGCCTATTGACATACACTCTCTCTCTCTCTCTCTCTCTCTGTGTGTGTGTGTGTGTGTGTGTGTGTGTGTGTGTGTGTGTGTGTGTGTGTGTGTGTGTGTGTGTGTGTGTGTGGGCTTGTTGTTGAGACCTCTTAGGAATGCTAAGTAGAAAATTGCCGAAAAAATTCACTCAACCAGGTGACTCACTTGAATCTGAGCAAGTATTTGGAGATGTTGAAGTCTTCGGAGTTTCGGGATGACCTAGATGTAGTCAGTGCACTACATACACCAAAAGGTTTATTATTATTATTATTATTATTATTATTATTATTATTATTATTATTATTGTCATAATTTCATTATTGCTTTTTATTATTATTATCAATGTAAATATTTATATAGCGTCTTGTATAAACTAACGCTTTTCTTTTTCATTTTTTTGATCCATCTATTTTTCATTTTATATTTGATAATAAATTAAAAGTAAGATGTTGTTGTACCTCATTCGAGTTGTGTTATATTTATACCGTTTAATGTTTATTACATTATATTTTTGTCTCGTAATTTCTCAATTTATTTATATAAATGTTTAATATTAAAAAAGATACAAAAATGAATTGTGAAAAATATCCAAACCAGGAGATATAGATGTGAGCGCTCCCTACATGAATATAAATCTATTCAGTCCCCTTTCTGATACTTCCATTCATGTTAACGCTGAAAAATTTCATGATCACAGGTTCTCTAGATGTTTTATTCATCCATTTATTCATTCATTCAATCAATCATTTATTCATTCATTCATTCATTCATTCATTCAATCAATCAATCATTTATTCATTCATTTGTTCGTTCATTCACTTATTTGTAGTTTTATTCATTCACTTATTCATTTATTTTTAGTTATATTTATACCGTGCGATGTAAAATCTAAAAAGTAAAGTTAAAAATAACATTTTGATCATCACGAATCTTTCGAACATTCCTCAAAATATTTGTTTCAGGAGAAGAATGAAGGTGAGATGCTTCTGGCCTGGAAGGAGGAGGCGGAGGAGTAACAAAGCCATTTCCACACTGGATACACTGTCACTGCAACACGTTCAGAAACTCTCTCAACCGCTGCCAATTCCACATCCCAGTCTCATCTGTCTCATCATTCACAACAGGTCTGTTTGTTTTCTTTTTTTTGCTCCTTTACATTTAATTTTGTCGTCATTTTGCAGTTTGTATACTTTGTCTGATTTTTGTTTAAAATTTTTCAATTGTTTGTACATTATGTTGTATTAAGTTTTTCTTATTTAACTGGTTGATCATTATGATGATTTGTTTATCAGTCTATTTATTATTTAACTGATTAATTGATTGATCAAAATGGCCAAAATGATTGAAACGATGATACGAACGAGGGTAACAGAGAGGACAGTAGATACAACATAGACATGAACAATCTGGTCTGTCAGAAGATCCTCCAGTACTCCGTTGAGCAGCAACCTTACGTCGACCCATCGTTGATGTCTACCTCCACGACAACTGACAACGAAAGTTGCGAGGCATCCGTCAACATCTTGCAACAACAACAGCAGATGTTGATGCAGCACAATAGATCAACTTTGCAATTGAAACAACAACAAAGTCCTACATCTCTCCACGACATATCGCCAGTTCAATCCAAGCAACAGCAGCAGCAACAACTTCAAAAATTTTCACCGATGAGCTCAACGACATATCAGGCTGTGGTTGATATGCATCAGCAGTCGTCGCGCTCTATGGGTCCAGTTTGTTTGGCCAAGCAGGAGTCCATAACGTCGGACATCACGTTGTCAGAGTACAACAGAGCCTCTCTCACTGATGGTAGCAGAGGTTGCTCCGCTCCCATGGTCAGTTCTTATCATTATCTCTTTATTTAACAATCGGTTTTGTAATTCTAATTTTTAATTGTTTGGTTAGTTGTGTTTTATTAAATTTAATTCATATTTTTTTTATAACTTTGTTGAATCTTTAGATATTTTTTATTACGAAATATTATTAAATAAACAATTTCCTAAACTGTTTTTTTCATTTTGTTGGCTTTATTTTCAAAATTATTTTTCTGTTCAATCATTTTATTTTTTCATTTTTCTTTTTCAGTTGGGGATAAAAAGGAATTAATTTTTTACAGCCTTTTTCACGCAACCTCGGGTTGATAGTTCGAGAAAAAAAGAAAAATAATAATCACGTGATTAATGACGTCACGTCATCGTCATCAGTTCCTTCTTCCACCATGGTTATCGATCTCGTCGACTTTGACGATGATGAAGATGATGATGATGATGATGGTAGTGAGCGGTACAAATTCAAGCTGGATGATTCGCAATCATCTTCCATTCAAATTGTACATAGGAAGAAAATAAATAAATGTAATTATGGCGGACATGATGACGGTGGTGATGAAGAAGATGATGATGAAGATGACGATGATGATGGCGAGAGAGGTTACAGGGAGTCATTGATATGCAGCAGTGTGAATGACGGTAGCAAGCAGGTCATTGATGAAAGTGATAACGACGATGATGAGGACGATGATGCAACTCAATGCTCTATGATCAATCAAAAATACGTTGATTATTTTCAACCAGGAACTTTATAAAATTTATTTTTTCTTCATTTTTTTTGTAATTAGTTTTATTTTATTCTTCATATTTTGACTGCATTTACAAAAGAAATATTTTATTTTATTTTCATTGATGTCATCCAAAATGTTTTATTTTTCACGTTTAATTATTTGAGCATTAAAATTAATTGTAAACACCTTAAAGCTAAATATCATATTTTATCACAAATCACACTACCTTGCCAATTCAATATCATTATAGTTTAGACGATGGATGTAGTTCGTAGTTCCAATACGTTTTACTTCTTTTAGAAACATAGATTCAACAGACGTAATTTGTGTGTGTGTGTGTGTGTGTGTGTGTGTGTGTGTGTGTGTGTGTGTGTGTGTGTGTGTGTGTGTGTGTGTGTGTGTGTGTTTGGCTTTTTCTTAAACAATCTTCATAAAGCTTTAATCACTTTCATAATTTTTTCAATCGAGAAATATTATAATCTTATTCTCGTTCGCTTTGCATTGTGAATAATACGAATATGTGTGATAATAGAGATAAATACGTACAATTATATATATTGACTAAGATTTAGAGACAGAAGTACGTATCACTGATAGGAAAGTTTATTTAGCTCAAGTCAAACAAATGAGATTGTTGTTTTTCCCTTTAAATATTGCTAACTAACTACATATTGTGTTCATCATGCCAATACATTTCAGTCGATACATTTTAATTAAACTTTTGCCGTATTGATTCAATGTCATTTAATAGTCCGTTGTTTGTCCGTTTTAGATTCATGCATCTACATTGTCAGCATAGTATTTACATTTTATTCACTTTTTAATTTTAATTTATAGGTCAAAGCAATGTTTTAAATTTGAAAGCATTATTATTTTAAATAAAATACATAGGACAGTTAATTTTTAACTGTTCTATATAAATTATAACCAACTGCTGATTGTGAACATTACTATCGGTTTTAGAACAATCTTAATGCTGATGTATTACAGTTGCTACAAATACTATGGTAAATTTTATGCGATGATTGTATCTTTTTAAGGCAACGAATTTAAGAACTGCTTAATAATAATAATACTGTGTTTGTGTAACAATACTCGCTTCCATTTCAGACATAAATTTTTCATTAGGCTTATAACATGCAAGATAAATAGTCAATTTTTAAAGTTTGTTTAGTGTTTTAATTGTAGTTTTTACTTAACTTGCTTTCATAGATGTTTTCTTGATTATATTTTTTATTATTTGTTTTTATTTTATCACGCTTGTCTGTGTATTTTTTTTTATGTGTTGAATAATTAATAGAATTCAGTATTATTAAAATTGTTTTAAAATATTTGCTGTAAAAATTCTGTTTCTCGTTTCTAAACTAGCTCTTAGAAGCTTAATTTTTTAGGTTTTTCTTTTAAGTTTGATGGCGAAAAGTTATTTGTGAAAGATGTTTGTTTATGATCATGACAAATTATTTGAAAAAATATTTACAAATAAATTTATTTTATTTACTAGAAAGTTACTTACATAACAGTTGGTTATAATGTTGTTATAATTTTGGCTGTGTTGTCCAAAATAGTTATGTTATCACGCATAATCTCATTTTTAAATGTAACTCTATGACGTCTTTTATTATTCTTAATTGCTACAAATTTAATTATTTATTGACCTTTGTGTGTTATTATCATTAACTATTAGCTATTTATGTATTAATTAATTTGTTATTTTTATCATTATATCATTGTTTGGTTGTAATTATTTTTTTGTCTTGTTAATAAAACAGCAATTAAATTTGAATTAGTCGTTTCTTCTTTTGAGTTGTTGCATAATTATGTCGATTTGTTACGTGAGCCTCATGAATTTTTCAAAATATTTTCTGTCATAAATCGTTTTGCGTACTAAGGCAAATATTCTTGAATTTTATTGAAAAGAAAGTCATTTAAACAAGTGTTAAGGGAACACTTCGAATTAACACGAACAAGCGTTACACTCAACTTAGACAGCAGAACTCATGAATGGGTTGTTTCACGATTCTGTGATTGCAATGGAGAGCAAGTATATGTATTGAAAAAGACTGGAACATTAATTTTTTCAATGGTGACTCTGGGTCACAGATGGCGAGTACTACAATAAAAATTACAAAATAATCTACATTTTGAATCGTCGCTTAATAAAGGTTTCTTCGCTTTACAAGCTTAAATTAGAAGAAAGAGCGGTTTTGATGCTTTGGTAATTTTCTATTGAAGGATTGGATTGGTATTGTAAGTATATGCGGTATTCTAACTATATGATGTGACTATACTCATTTATATAGAACACTTATATGGGTGTATAATTAAAATTTGAGTTAGAGTTTACCAATCCTTACCGTAAGAAAGTTAAACATATTAAAGGGCTTATCCGTAGGGCATATCCATGTTATGAACTATAGATGAGCCTTCATGTTTAATAAATTAAAATATTAGTGGGTTGAACCATTTATTGCCTAATGGTTTCATAGTCTCACGGTCTCATGGTCTCACGGTCTCATGGTCTCACGGTCTCATGGTCTCACGGTCTCACGGTCTCATGGTCTCACGGTCTCACGGTCTCAATGTTTTACACACGATCAGCAATTCAGCCAACTCAGCTCTAGAGTTGGTAAATAACATTTATTTTGAAAGTTCTTGTGTAGGTAAATGAACTTTTTTGTTTAGTCCTTAATTTAAGAATATCCTAAATTTATTTGTTAAAAATTAAAATTGAATGACGAAAATCTTAGATTAGAGTGTGTAACTTAAAATTGTTTGTTAATGAGGTTATTTTAATTAATTTATAAGACAATTAAGTTTAGTTTAGAATTTTTTCTGTTGAGAAAGAAAATGAAGTTAGGTGATCTTCAAATCCTAACATTTATTTTTTTACTTCAAATATATGTGGAGATTGTTCTCTCAAATAATCGACGAAGGCGTGAATTGATGTGCCATATGACGGATAAGCTCGAAGTTAACTGTTCAAATAAACAGCCTATGTTGAATGACATTTTGAGGCACCTTCCAAAAAATTTGACAAGTCTTGATATTAGAAACAATTTGTTGTCTGATTTGAATATTGATGATTTCAAGAGTTTGTTACTGCTAAATGTCAGCTTCAATGTCATCAATGTCTTAAAACCTCAAACGTTTTATCATAATGAACATTTATCACAATTGGATTTGAGCTACAACAACATCGATCTATTTGTGTCAACAAGTTTATTCGGTGAGAATAACCATTTACAAGTTTTGAATTTAAAGCAGAACAACATTTCCATTTTGAATATCTTCAATTTAAAATACTTACAAGAATTAGATGCTTCCCAAAACCAATTGAAAGTGGTTAACTTTTCTGAGCATAATTGTAGAAGTATAAGGAAGTTATATTTACAGAATAATGTGCTAGATAAATTATCTTTCTTGGTAAACTATTCTTACATTGATGCTTTTTTTGAAGTCATAAATCTTCGACATAATCAAATCAAAGATTTAAATTTCTTAACAGATGTCAGGCTTAACAACTTAAAAGAACTTTATCTTAATCACAATAAATTAAAAGTAATTGAAAGTATTCATTTCAGAAATGTACCTAATTTAAAAATTCTTGACATAAGCTCTAATGACATTATTGGCTTAAATGATTTCACATTCCATAACTTGGTAAATTTAGAAGATTTGTATTTGAATAATTTTTCAAATTTAGAAAGAATTGAAAGCAAATCTTTATCAGGCTTGCATAGCTTAATATCACTGAGTTTAAAAGCAAATGAAAAATTAACAGAAATTCCAAATTTCTTTTTTAAAAATTTATCAAGTTTGAATAAACTTGACTTAAGTTACAACAGCTTTAAATCTTTGGGTTCACATGTTTTTGATGATTTGAAAAATTTAACAAAAATCGATTTAACAAAAAACAAATGGAGATGTGATTGTACTATAATGGTTTTAAGGCTGAAACTTGGAAAAATGTTCAAGGCTTTAGAACATCCAGAAAATTTATTGTGCCATTCCCCAGAGAATTTATATGGATATCCTTTGATGGCATTTCCTCTCAATCATACTTGTGGAGAAAATATGTTGTACATTTCACAAGTGTTTTCACTTTTTGAAAGTTTCAATGCCACTGCAAAACTGAATTCTGATGTGATGTTCAAGTGTGGTAATTATTCAGAACGTGAAAATGTCAGCTGCATTTGGACTAGGACAAAAGGGCTTGTGGTTGAAACATTTTCCATAAAAAATAAGAGTGAAAAGTTTTCAGTCTTGAAAAATTGTAGCTTACAGTTGAAGAATATAAATTCTCATGATGTCGGTGTTTATAAATGTTTCAGTCTGGATGGTGACCAAAATGACAATGTGTCCGTTCCCATAATTGGATTAAAATTAGATTATGACATACTCAGCTCAACAGAGATAGAAAGTTTAATCTGTGGTTTTATCACAGCAGCTGCATTTTTAATTTTAGCCATCATATTTGGATTGTTTAGAATGTGTTGCATATCTTGCAGCAAAAAAGAAAAGTTAACTAAATCGAATGTGAAGGAGGTACTGATATCTTTAACATCTTCATTCAACGTTGATAAAATATCTGAATACAAAACTACTCAAATGGAAAAATTCACTGCTTTCCGATCAGCCACTGCCGAACAACTTTCTGCATTCAAAAATTCCAGAGTAAACAAACTGAGGACATACAAGCAAGCGACTGTGAATGGGGTGTTGAAATGTCTTGACCAGATGAGGATTCATTATTTAAACCAAAGTAACAAAATAAAAGACAACTACCAAATGCAAGTGAAGAGGTTAAGAGAAACTTATACCACCCAAAAGATGAAATTTAATGATCAAAAATCCACTCAGTTGAAGAAGATTAAGAAGAATTATCATAATCGGGCTTTGAAAATCAGAGATTATGGATCCCAGCAGGTAATCATTAATTGTTATTCATATTTTTTTTAGACGTTCATTGAGGCCAGATGCTACAGTCAAATGGTTTTTAATGCATTGTCTATTGCAGACTTGCTACTAATTTCTCAATTAAATTAATGAAAGGCCAATGTTACTGCATTGTTTTCTTTTATGATAGTTTCAATTCTCCGTTCAAGTGTTGTAAGTTATTCAAGATGTTACAATCATGTTAACATAAGTTGCTGATTTAATATTGAATATAGCTTGCAAAGTTGAGAGAGCAGTACAAGACACAGCAGCAGAATCTGTTGAAGTTGCTTGAACTTCTTGAAGTTGGAAACTGTGTGCATGTTATTGAAGAGGACTGCACCATAACTGAATCAGTAATATTTGATCCAAATGCTCTCACATACCCAGAAGAACAAGACTCACCTCCATTTACTGATCAAACTGAAGTGGACTCTTTAAATGGTCATAATTTTCACAGATTTAATTATTTTCAAAGTTCTTTGTTACAATAAAACCTAATTGAAAATTCACACATTGTTTATATCATATAAATCAGAAGTTTTGATAAACGCGTTGTTTTAGCCAATAATGCTTTTTATAATTTCGTAATCGTGTTTACCGTTTCAGTCTTATTTATTTTAACAGCGAGCAATGAAAATTTGGATAAAGGTGAACATTCTGGTGGGAGAGGCAATGCAAACAACAACAATTGTGAAGATGATGATGACGACGAAGACGGCGCTAGTATCAAACTATTGCAATACGATGACGAACTCGAGATGTTTGTGATACCAAAAAATGTTTTTGATGAGATATGTCAATCCAGTCGTCGTTCAAACCGCTCCTCCATTGGCAGCAACTCATTTGATGCGTCAAAATCATCCAAACGATCCAACGTCCAGGTTGTAACAGCTGTTGTGGAAAGGCCAAAATTATAAAGATTCCATCATTTTACATGGCTATAAAGTTTTTCTTGGATATGTTACAACAGTAATTATTTTCTATTAATCGTGACTAATGCTCATGAGTTTGTTCATCGTCATATTTTACGCTGAGTATTTAATCTACATTTTTAATGTAATTTCGTATTCAAGAATGCCTTAAATGCGGTAACGTGGAAATGGCGTGTTAAAATATGAAACTGGTTGGTAATGGGAATGTTTGAAGATAGAGGAAAGCAAGTAGATTGTGAGTTGAAGTGGTTATTGGTTTGGCGCTGTTTCATTCTTATAATGGTAATCGAGTTAGGGTACAGGAAAGGAACAGAAAAAAAAAATTTCAAATTTAAATTATTTACTATAGAGATTGAAGAACATTAGAAACGAGTAGGAGCTTATCTTTCTTACTTGGGATCCACTTTTTAACGTGGTTGGCCAGAAAAGCGGGACACAGGTTCTTGTTACCTTGCCTAAATACACTAATCATCACCTCTAATTATCTCAATTATAATTTATTATTTTTAGTTCCTCAACAGATAATAAAGACAAATTTATTTCAATTGAATTGTTAAGACTTTGGTGTTGTTTGTTAATTGAAATCATAAACATTCCTTGTTTTTATTCCTAATGATGTATACCAGTACACATAAACCCACGCCTACACATACACACACCTGCTACACACAAGCCATACACATACACACATATATGCATACAATTACAAAAATTATTTTTCAACATTCTTTAACCAGTGTGCTTAATCAGATTATTTTTTAAGTAAAACCTATTTTCTTATTCAAGATTAATCTTCGTATTATAATTTTTTGTAAAATTGAGGTTTTAACATTTTTTAAAAACATTTTGTGTCATATTTGACATTTATTTATATTAATAATACTAACATAGTTGAATTTACGATATTTGAAAAGTATGTCTTGTGGTTTAAAATCAAATTGAATTAATAATTTTCAAAATATCATCTGCCGTCAGTTGATCCTCATTTACACCGTCAATGTAATAATTATCACAATTGTAGTCGTCATGACGTGTTCTATCATTATCTTGTTCAGTGCCTCTGATTGAAATTAAACATTGTGTGTCACTCAACTAACTGAAAGACAGTAGCGTTGTATTCACGCCACAGAACAAAATAAAAGAATTAAATGAAATTCTGTAAACTTCTGGTATATTGTAAAACATCTATGTTAGCATCTCACATTTCTGAGTGAGGACTCCTACATTCAAGATCATCATCCAGTTTTGAACTGTCAGGCATTTGCTGGTAAAGAGAAAAAAAAATCAATATATTAAAAATAACTATTTGTATTCAAAAATAAAATGCTAAATTAAAATTATTGTCGTTATTATTATCAAAGGCAATCAGCCTACTGACCTGAATATACTCCGTTATAAAGTTATTATTCAGCAATTCCGATGTTGTCAGCCTGTCTTTAGGGTCATATAACATCATTCTGGGGTATCAGTTGAATGAATATTTCTCAGAAGAATAAAATGTTAGATAAAAGAATTTTTAATGAGTTGATGATACAATTAATTTTAATTTAAAAAGGAGATACTTTTTAAAAAGGCAGTGAAGATTTGGTGTAACAGACGTGGAACACATTGTGATGTGCTGATTAAAGGCATCAGCATGATCTTTAAAGTATATAATCTCTTGTTTGTTCTTAAATAATTTCTTCAAGGAACATAATTCATATAATATGCACCCTAAGGCCCTGTGCAAACAAATCAATAGTGATGTCAACTATTGATAAGGCAATCAGTTTTAGGAATAGTTAAAAGTTTGTCCTGAATTTGGAATAACTACCATGAAGATGACGTGTCAAAGTTGCATTGCATATGATCCTCCCCTCCACACAATAGTTCTGGACTTTGATAAATTTCTCTGTAGTTATTTACATTTTCTTCACCTTCGTCATCAGAATCACCGCAAGTGCTGCTTGTGTAATCTGAACCGTCAACCATTGTTACATTTTTATCGAATACATGTCTGCAAATGAAAACATTCCATGAATTTAAACGAGATCAAAAATGTTATATTTTTCAAGACCAAACTAACACAAAATAAAACTTTTCATAATGCAATATCAATCTATTTGAGATATATAAAAACTTGCAGAGACAAAGAATTTTAGGTATAGATATGACATAAAAAAAATATGCACAAAATAAAAAATTATGATTACATAAAGATGAGTTCTTTTATAGACAGCCTTGCTCTGTTATACTTGAAAAATATTCTCCTGAAAATTAATGAAGTTAACTTAAATTTTTATAAAAAAAAAATTGAAAAAAGAGCTTACCTTGGATTGACGAATCTCATGTTAAAGCCCCTTCAAAAAAGAACACTTTCACAATTATGTAATATAATAATATAACAATTTTTGTAAATGGAATGACGAAAAACTAGTCAAAATTATAGAAAAAATGCTGACTTTTTGTCTAAATGATTAATTGCAAGAGCAATTTGGCAAAACCAATCTATTATCTCTGATTCATGTAAGATATCCTCGTACAGCACAACTCTGCCAATCAAATCTTTGAGACTCCCACCCTAGTCATTCATTTTGTTTTTATTCAATCACTAGTAAGATTTAACAGTAAAGAAAATTGTTTAATTAAATAGTATTGGGTAAAAATATAATTTAGTAAACGTATAAAACACATAAAAAACTTTATTTTGATAGTGCAGTAATAGTAATACATGAATATTTGTAATAATTATAATTTATAAATAGGAAAAGATGAATGAATGACAAATGGCATGAATAATAAAACTAATATATTTTCAGGGAGGGAGTTAGATCATGTTTTGACAAAACAATTTAATAAATATATTTAAATAATAAATAATAATAATAGAAAAAATTATATTAATAATACCTCACAGTATTGAAAAACAAGATATAAAGTATCTCCAGCTGTAAAAAAGGATTCTACATTAGCAATACATTTGTGAGAGCAACTCAAACTAAGATTATTAATTTGCAGCAGTCTGTTTCTATCAAAATTTTTAGTGTCAAACAGATATTTTAGAATCAATTTTCTGAAAAATAAATGTTGGTAATCAGTTATTATTTTTGAATGAAATGAGTTAAAATCTAAAAAATGCCAAGTAGATAAAATATTTGTCATGAGATAAGATTAAGAATAAATAAAATAAAAACAGTAGGTGGTAGGTGACAGTTTTTTTGTTGATGACATGAAAGAATGGATAGAATTAGTGATAATTTCAATAATTCAAAAATATTTTAAATTAAAAAAGTTTAAAAATATTAAAATTATTGGCGGAGCCTTAATTTGTTGAGAAAAAATACAAAAAAATACTAAAAAAATTGGAACTAAAATAAAAGTTACAGTTTTTTAGATTTATCTTTCACTAATAAAGCTGATAGACCAAGTTTAGAAAAAATGGAAAAATCGAGGCAACTTTTGATAGACATTATCGATTATTTCAATTACTTAATTAATCACTAATTTAATATAAAATTATAAACTTTCAAATACTTTATTTGACGTATGGCAACTCAGATACGCAAATGTTTAAAAGTGAAATCAGCGTACATTTCAAGCAAGCATTCCAGCCATCGATTTCAGCACAAGGGGAGGCCTATTTACCAGCATACAACACCTTCTTATGGGTTGAAGCAGGGATATGCAAAGAACCTCAATTTTTTCAACTTTTTATTATTTTCAGTAAAATCTCCCCTTGCTCCAAACCACATAACTAGAATAATAGGACTAATCGATCAATTCGATCTATCGGTCGGGCTATTAGTCGTGCTTGGATTGTTGGCTTACGAAATTGCATGGATTTTAACGAGCAAGCTAAATGAAATATTTACTTGATTTAATATGCTTAAAACATTGTAGTAATTCTATTTAATTTTAATAACGATTAATAGAATTATGTATTATTAAATTATTTTTGTTAATTTGAATATAAAAATTGCTTTTTGTCCGGTGAAATCCGGTGGCTTACTGAAGCCGAAGGTTGGTTTAGTAGGATTGAACTATAGTCACCCTTTTTTTTACACTATTCGATCATGTTAAAAATTGGTTTGCTTATGAAATAAACGGCCTAAATAAATCAAAATTGTTATTTGAACAACTATCTTCATTATATTCAATGAATATTTTACATTCTGCTGGTGCTCATAAACTGGCTGCTGAAATCATAGGTTGGCTTACAGCAGTGGCTTACAGGGTTTTATAGAACTCTTACGATAGCACTTTTTTGTACATATAATGCTTTAAATAAATCAATATATTCATATCACAATTATTTTTGTCAGTATAAATATAGAAATTGCTTTTGTCAGGTGAAAAACAGTGGCTTACTGAAGCCGTAGGTTGGCTTAATCGGATTTTTTCTCATGTCAACAATACTATGAGATAAATCAATCAAACAATCAAACAGTCAGTCGGTCGGTCGGTCAGTCAGTCAGTCAGCCAGCCAGCCAGTCAGTCAGTCTGTCAGTCAATCAATCAACCAACCGATCAATCAACCGATCAATCAATCAACTAAATTGAATGAACCAAATAAACAAAAATAAAAATAAAAAAAATTTGCAAGGCCTGTTCAAACTCAAACAAACAGTTAACCGTACAGATCTACAAACAATATCGAGATTTTAGTAAAGAAAGAAAAACACAGTAGTTGTTTTTATTTGAATTCATTCAAAAATGAAAAGTGACGGTTAATTAAAATTTTAAAATGTCAATTTTTTTTTTTAAATTCGTATTTTAAATAAACATATATAACAAAATATCGACCGATAAAAATAATTATTATCCATTATTATCATACACACTCCTTAGAAGTTCTCGGAGGATAATAAACCACGTAACATGAACAATTAGTAAGAACAGTTCACAACATATCATAATGACTAAATCAACATACTAAACAGAAATAATTTATACATGCATATATACAAAGTAAATCAAGAAATATCCAAAAATTATATAACCAATTTTAAAAAAAACTAGAAACCAGTCAACATTTAATGAATAAATAAATAGACATTATTAAAAAGATTGTTCAAAAAGGTACAATTTAAGGCGACGACGAGAATGAAATGTAGTTTGTTTTGTTGGTGTGGTGTTGTGAAGCGAAAACAAACACATCACACAAAACTAGTAAGAAGTCGCAAGAATAAGTCAGTCACTTAACCTATAATAAAATTACTCTCAGGGCGCTAGCTTACTTATAAACATTGACTCAACTCACTTACCTACAAATTTGTATTTCTCGTTTTAGATGTTTCAAGTATTTTATTTAACATATTTTAGCGTTTTTATTTATCTTGAAGCTTATTAACTAATGTTAAGCCCTAGCCTACCTACAATTGTTTAACTCATCTCAGTCCCTAACTTACCTATGAATTAAATTAAAGCCCGGTTCAAGATAAAGAAAATATAAAGTTGAAGAGAAACATAGCAACAACGACACCGAATGAATAGATGTTGTGTATGTATGTGTTGTATTGATGTGTGTGTGTATGTAAATGTGCGGGCGCGCACTCTCCAGAAACTTCACTCACTACCGACGAACCTCCATTGCACCGACCATCATCTGACACGCATCGATGGAATGAATTTGACCGGATACTAAAAAATAAATTGAAAAAAAATTCACTAAAATAAAAAAGCAATTGGAAAAAATAGGCAACTTATCTTTTTGAGATAACAGTCAATCTTTGTTCAAATTCGATTACTTTCAAAGGTACAATGAGACAAAAACAAATTTACCTTTAACATTATCTTCGATTTGTCATCGGAACGATCATCATGAGACCACCATCTGAAACGTGCTGATGCCCACCACAGCCCACCTCTCATCATTCTGTAGACATTTTTTTAATAGCGTATTAGTAAATCAAGGAACAAAGGAACGATCGAATGAATGATTAACTGAATGATTGAATAATTGGTTGAATGAATGAGTGAATGAATGAATGAATTAATAAATCAATGATTCAATTAATGAATAGAATGAATTAACGAATCAATTAATAGAAGAATAATTTAAAAGGTTGAGTGATAAAATGAACGAATGAGAAAAATAAAAAACGAAACTAAACCTTACTTCAAAAATCGTCGTCACTGTACTTTCCATTGCACCGACCACCACCATCTGGTCGGCACACAAAATACCATCCGAACTTCAGAGTGTCAGTCGAACAGCCAACGAGCTGATTCTTCCTACACCACCATCATCATATGTAAATCATCATGAGACAACCATCTAAAACGTGCTGACTCTCGCCACTGCCCACTTCTCATCATTCTGTAAACAAAATTTTTTTATTTGCGTAGTAGTAAATGAATGTTAGAATCTTAGAAGCAAAAAAATTTAAATTCTAAAATGAAAATAATGTCAAACAAATAAAATTTTAAAATAATAAAGTGAGTAAAATGTAAAAAAACTTACTGTTGTCCATTCGACAAAGGCAGAATGTTGAATGCGGTCCGGTTCCTACGTTGTCCTCCAAAACTGGTGCCAATCCTCCTCGAGATTGTTGTTGAAACACAGCCCGTGTTGATGGAGAAAGATAGAGAAAGAGTAGATTCTCATCAGAAAGCTTAGCGGTGCCTGCATCTCAAATTGCTTAATAAAAATAATCCTATCTACCTATTCAATTACCTTAATTAATCTATATTAAATTGTTAATGGTACGATAGTCAAAAGTCCCTCCTTCCTCCTTGCACAGAGGTTCACCGATAGCCAGGGCACTGGATAGAAAACCATTGCCGTACGGATAGTAGACTATTGCCGTGCGGATAGTAAACCATTTGCCGTCCGGAAGCCGTGCGGGTAGTAGACTATGGCCGTGCCGCATGGTAAATCATTACCGTGCAGATAGTAAACCATTGCCGTCCGGATAGTAAACCATTGCCGGTACACCACTGGCCACCAAGGCTTACCTCTGACAACAGACTTCGAAATTCAGAGTCTATCGGCTATCGTACCCTTAACTTACCTATTCATTACAATTAAGCCCTAGCTTACCTAAAATTACAATAAAACTCAAGAGCCCAATTCATTTGCCAATCGGCACCCACCCCACCACCTACGTAATGCCTTGGGCTCCAACTTAGTAATAATATAAAACTTAAACCCTAAATCTATTAATGAGTGTGTGTTACAACATAGCCTTAACTTACCTATTCATTACATTATGGCCCTAGCTTACCTAAAATTACAAAACTCAAGAGCCCAATTCATTGGCCTTTCGGCACCCACCCCACCACCTACGTAATGCCTTGGGCTCCAACCTAATAATAATAATGTAAAACTTAATAACTAACTTACCTCTCAATACACTTACAGCGTTTATTTAATTTAAATTACAAGATTGTTCCTAGAATTAAATTATTGCTTTTAACTACCTATGAAATTAAATTACTCTCAACCTTAGTAATAATAAATTAGAATGTGTAATGAAAATAAAATAACGCTCAAATACTAATATGTGTTTATGTATGTATTTGTGTGTGTGTGTATAATACGCTGATGCGTGTAATGTGGGTGCGAGAAAAAATAGAAGAGATAAACTTACGCTGCCTACCTATTCAACTACATTAGTGTTGGATGCTTCCTATCTATCCTACCTACAATTAAAATTATGCCTATCAAACCTACCTATATAGCTACTTAATGTAATTGTGTGTATGTGCGTGTGCGTGTGAGCATTCTTACTTAATGTTAAATTACAGAGAAAAACAGAGAAAAAAGAATAAAACGTATCCCAGCCAGGCGTATCTTCTTTGCCACTGAATGAACGAACGTAGCCTGACATCTTCCACGATGAATTCCTTTGGAAGCTTCAACCTGAATAAAATGGATGAAATGGAAAAATCTTATTTATTTGACTAATTTAAATGAAAATAGAAAAACGAGCCGCGGTGAAACCCGCCGGAAAAGCAAGCCAACTGGCAAAAAAAAGAACCGCAAAGAAACCGTAAAACGTACCCAGCAGGGCGTGCATTCTTTGCCACCGAATGAACGAACGTAGCGTGACATCACAACCTTTCTGATCGTCCAAGATGAACTCCTCTGGAAGCTTCAACCTGGATAAATAAACCTGAAAAACCTAAATGAATGGAAAAATTTTATTTATTCAATTTAAATGAAAATAACCGCAAAGAAACCGACCGGTCGGTCGGCAAAGAAAAGAGAAAAGAGGAGCAAAGAAAGGTATCTATATAGGATTTATGCTCTATATAACTCTATATAACCCTATATAACCCTATATAACCCTAACCCTCTATATAACCCTATATAACCCTAACCCTCTATATAACCCTATATAACCCTAACCCTCTACATAACCCTAACCCTATATAACCCTAACCCTCTATATAACCCTATATAACCCTAACCCTCTATATAACCCTATATAATCCTAACCCTCTATATAAACCTAACCCTATATAACCCTAACCCTCTATATAACCCTATATAACCCTAACCCTCTATATAACCCTATATAACCCTATAAGAACCTACCTAAAATTAAAAAAATACCACCTACAAACATTCAAACCACCTACAAACATTCAAACTCTATATAACTATATATAATAAAATAAATAAAAAAAAAATTTTTTTTAATAAAATAAATGAGATCAGACTGCTTCAAGCGAGGCAGAATGCTGATTTGATTTTCATGGTGTCTCAGCTCCTCTATTTATACTCGTTTCAACCGTACATTCTCAT